AACCTTTGTAAGCTTGCTTTGTTCACTCTTGTACAGCTTCCTCAAAAAAGTAAACAAAGCTTTCTGGTCCTCATCACTTTCACGGCTTTCAAAAGGAGGGCAAAAAAATGTCTTGTCGTCATCCTTCCGATTGAGCCAATAAATAGACCCTTTGCAAAACGTACTGCGCCACGACGGCGGGGACTTTTGGGAACCCTCGGTACAAATCACGTGCTTTCTCGTTGCGCCTCTGCGACTGCGCGCGCGTCCCGGCAGCTACCGTTGGCAACCGTTGCAGCTTATTGCCGCCATCCCGCCCATCCGCCGAGTGGTACGTCGTTGGCGGCGTACCGTATCTGTGGCAGCGTAAAGGCATCGCAACAGGTGAACTTGTTTAAATACGCAGTGGTGGCAATGCCCACAAGACTTTTGGAGCAGCTCGTGTAGCAGACAGAAACATGTTTTGGAGCAGCTGTAACAACTTTTGTAGCAGGGGTCTGCCGCCCAGCAAGACAGGTAAACAACATCACAAATTTATTTATTTTGTCATGTACACAGATCTCTTGACTAGAATCAACAATAGAAACAATTCAAATAACCCACAATAAATGACAAAACAAAAATTGATTAGCATGTACCACTAAAACCAATACTTGTATTGGATGCCCCCGGTAAAAACTAGCACCGCCCAGCATGACAGCAGAATATAAATTAATGTGTCTGAAATGTATACAGATCTTTCATAGTATGATGTGAAAACAGTAGCCCAACCAATTGGGAACAGAACATATATTACATTTCTTTCTGGTGTCTCGCACAATACAAAGTACAGAACAAAAATATTGACTAGCATGTACCAATAAAAAAAAAATAGCTGTACTGCATGCCCTAGGTTATAGAGGCTTGTTAAAATAAAAACGGAAACACCACCCAGCAATACCAAGTCATAAATGCACAGATCTCTTGTTTAGTACCATGTGAATACAGCAGTGCAACCAGTGAGGAAAAGAACATATATTGTTTCCTGCTGTTTTCCACACAATGTAAAACATAAAACAAAATATTGACTAGCATGTACCGATCAAAAAACAATACTCTTACTGTGTGTTAAGCTAGAACATGCTTAGATAGAAATGGAAATCTCCACTAACATTTCTTTCCTGTCTGTATTTTTCACCATTTCCACCTGCCTCATGCTGGCAGCCATTTTCTCCTTAGTCTGAGTCATTACTGCTTGGCCACTCTGGATGTCACTAAAGATCTTTAATTTCATACCACAATCAATCAAAAGCTCTGCATTTCTTAACATGCGTTCCGCATCAGCCACTTCTTTTTGTGCTTGAGCTTCAGTTGCGCCAGGCTTTGATGAAGACAGTTTGTCAGTACGCAATCGCTTCAATGCCACTTGTTCGGCTGCAATGCGTTCAGCATAGCGTTTTGAGGCGCCCTTCATGGCTCGGATCACATCTGGACGAACAGAAAACTGGCAAGGGTCACTGTTGTACCTTTCAGCAAGTGCCATAGAGTGTGTTGAATACTGTTTATACTCTGTAGAGAAAGGCTAGACCTGGTCATGGCAAAACTTTGTTGTTCCGGCTAAAGCCATGCTCGACATCCGCATTTCCATGCGAAAGGGAGAGCAGAGCCTTGACGAGCTTTGACACTAGTGAGTTCTTTGTTTTATTTTCGCTGTTTTTTATTTCGAAAACACAATGCCAGTACTTATCCAGTGCCACTTCGGAACATGCTGCTGGCGGTTCCAAGCTCAATATTGTTGCTTCATCCAAGAGACACGACACCTGACTTGGCTGAATCACCTGTGTTGCACATTTTGCAAGGTATCTGAAAGATTCCCTTGTAGAACCAGCAGCATGTACGTCACGGTGCAAGCACCTAAGGTGCTGGAGAGTCATGTTCGTGAGGGGAAGCCTTGTTATCAGATATTTGGAGCATGTGATGTAGAACAACCTTGCCCCAATTCTGAACGCTGTCTTCTCAGTAGGAGTCCTCGACATTACTGCTGCTTCCGTGTCAGCACCGAGTTCCACGTTTGGTTTCCTGTTTTGTGAACACTCAACATCAAGCCCAGCCAGTTTTACCCCTGATAAGCCCTGGAAGGCTTCCAATCTCAAAAATCTTGCCAAGATTTTCTTCAGAATCAGTACCAACTCATTGTAAAGAACATGAACCAAAGGCTCAGTCTTTTGGAAAAGTTTAAGAAACCCAGTGAAGAGCTCAGCTGCATTTTTCACGAACAATGCCTTTGCATGGAACGTTTTTTTCATTCAAGTTGCTCCTCAACCGTGCTTTTACACTGCCCCCAATGCGCATTGGCGACTCTGCACTTAGCACGCTCTTCAAAGCCAAAAACTGCTCAAGCAGGTGGTCCAGAGCTGGCATAAGCGATAACCAGCGGCAACTAACATGGTGCAGAAATACCGCTTCAGGCAATCCGGAAAGCTTCGGATATTCTTTCAGATTAGCACTTTGTACTGCAGAGTTCTTAAAAAAATGGTAAGTGTCAACTACCACAGTTTCAACCTCAGTGCCAAAGGAGTCCAAAGCATGCGAAAAAGCATTGTGTACCTTGTGCAACGTACACTCACCAACATCCACCAGCGAACCATGCTCACGAACCAGTTTCTTTTTTAAAGACGTCATAACATTCGGGCCGTCACGGAAGAATAAAAAAAAGCCTGCTCGAGGAATATTTTCAGTGGCCTTGTTCACACACCTCACAAGTATTTCTGCAGTCGCACTACCCATATAAATGAGTGCAGGTGCTCTACAACAACCTGCTTTTGAACCTCTGAAAAGTAACAAACAAGAACATCGAGCTGCTGGCACCGCTGCTCCTCCGGCAGCGGAGTTTCACCCACTGCAATGCTGTAGAAAACGCCGGCCTGATTGAGTTCCTTCAGTGCAAGGCTCTCAAAGTAGGGCCCTAGGCCATCTGACACGACATAGGAGGCTTTCTTCCTACTGCAAGAGAAGTCCTTTGCCACCTTGAAGTCCGGGAACATTGCACGGTAGAGATGGGTTGCTGTGTCTGCCCAAGAATAAAGAATTCTTTTAGTGTCACGGCCAAGACAAAAAGTGCCTCACTGGTGGTCATACGATTTGCATGGGACATGACTCTGTTGGAGGTGGAAAAATCCAGGACCGCTTGAACTGCTGCTGGCCGCTTCAGCACTCCATCAGAACCTCGGTGACTCTTACCCCCGAATTCAGGAACACCACTTTACTTTCCTCGTTCCTTACCTTACGTAAGAAAAGGAAACGGGCTCACTTAAAGAAAGGTGCCATTTCGCATCAGAAACGCGCCTCGCCCTTTCCTTTCAAGAGGAGCAGACGAAGAAAACCTTCGTCGTGTAAGGAAAGTCCGAGCGTGTCCAGTGTCAAGATTATAGTAAATTTTTATGTCGGAACTCAGAAATGAGTTCGCAGAACAAGTAGATTATAAAATAATTACCGTGAAAAGTGTTTTGTAATTGTATGCAGCTGAGAACGCGAGTGTAATTTAACGAAACGTATGTTTGGCTTGTTTTGACTCCACATCGCGTTCTCGTTATTCTCGTCTGGCAACATACGACGAGCGGTCTCTCGCGCTCGCTTTGGTTCCCTTGCTCGCTTTGGTTCCTCGCGCTCACAGTGGTTCCTCGGTAATCTCGATTTTTCACTTTCCAATCCACGTTATTCTCGATTTTTCACTTTTTAGTGCACTTTGTCGGTTCCCCGCGCTCGCATTCGTCCCTCAGTATCCTCGATTTTTCATTTTTTTCACTTTTCAGTGCACTTTGTCGGTCCCTTGCGATCGCACTGGTTTCTCGATTTTTCACTTTTCAGTGTCTTATTTTTTCTAAAGTTCCTTTTGTTTATCTGCCACGCGATGAACAAGCCAAAGAAGTTTTTTTCGGACAACGAGAAAGCCCTGCTCGCGGGGCTAGTTGTGAAATATAAACTGATAGAAAGTAAGGGGACAAACAAGGCGACGGCCAAGGTGAAGGTGGCGGCGTGGGCTGCCCTTACCGTGGAGTTTAACAGCACCCACGGATTCTACAAGCGGGACGAGGCTCAGCTCAAAAAGTGCTGGGGCAACCTGAAGACGAAGTGGAAAAAAGAGAGGGCTGTGGAAAACCAAAACCGCATTGCGACAGGTGAGTTACCCTTCGATTCTACGTTAAAGCAGCAATACAGGCGAGCTAGTTACATTGACAGTGTGAACTCTGGAGCAAGAAGCTGTGTTCGGAGCTCAGTTCTCTTGTCCTGCGTCCGTGTTTCCTTCCCTTCAGGATTTACGGCATAAATTTGTACGTGTTCGCTGCCGAATCTATAGTGACTGATTGGCACTGTACTGTGATCGGCTGTTCCTATTCGCACTCCGAGTGCGGGTAGTGGTTGATTCTAATCCGCACTCCGAGTGCGGATTGGGGATTTTTTATCTGCACTCCGCACCTGGCGCGATTTTGTCGCAGGAAACTTTGAACACAGTGGTTTAGAAGTTTATTTATTTACAAAGTGGTTTAGAAGCTCCCAACTTAGTGTTGCGAGTGACACTGGCATGTTGGCAGCCACGACGAGTCTGGAAAGGTTAGTGGTTCTGGTTTCGGAGTTACAATACTTTTAAACAGATGTTTTTGTCATTATTGAAAAAAATTAATTAGCATTGGGTGGTGCACTTCTGCGCTAGACTACCCTTAAAACCCCAGAGGCGCCAATCCTGCGTTTCAGTCATGTCTCTGTGCACCCAACATCACTACGTGAGGAGGTGCGTTTCTGTACCTAGTTGATTTGTTATGGCTCTAGGTATGAAAAATAACCGTAACAGGCCCATAGTTTCGTGATCAATGTGTATTGCGCAGTGCATGCACTAGGGCCAGTTGTTTTATTCTGAACTTTGAGAGCATTTCTTTCCTGCCCCAACTTCATTTGACTGTATATTGTGCTCTTTCTCTTCATTTTCTTTTACTAAAATGTAGGAAACTCTCCTACAAAGTGACTTGTGTGTTACACCCACTTAGGAGGCGGACCACCAGGAACTGGAATGAGCCAGCTGTCGGTGCTCGTGGGAGCTGCAGCCCCGCACATGGCCAGGCGGCTGGAGAACAGTGCAGACAGTGACGGCAGGCATGCCAGCCAGACACTCTTCACGGTGGCCCAGATCCTGGAGCCCATGGTGGTGCCCCAGGCTGATGATCTCTCATTGGATCGCATACCTGGTATGGGTAGAAGCTGGACAGAGGGCTTGTTTTGGGTTGTCCTGCTGAGGGACGATAGCCTTCAGCAGATTCTCGGCATGTCAACAGATAGCTTGTTGGCAGCAAAACGGGCATAGTGAAATGTCGCTGAGGCAACTTCGAAAGTGAAAGACCTGAGTAAGCACAGGTTTAGGCGACTCAAATACATTTCCTATCTTGCTTCTCAAGTTCTGTAGCCAACAGAGCCACTCGCCATGCTTGCGATACTTGCCAATAGACCAGTTACAAACCGTACAGCGCCAGGACGGCAGGGAATTTCGGGAACCCTCGGTATTGTTGCGTTCGGGAGGGTGAGGACCTCAGGCGCGGAACCAAGAGTCGGGGCTGTGGCTCGCTGCTAGCATGGCCCCGAGGAAACAGGCCTGGAGTGGGAGTACTGAAGGAGAACTTTTATATACAGTGAATATACAAGTCGCATGGTCGACTGGTTAATCGGCAGTCTGCAGTGGGCGACTTCGGGCTCTGAGCCCGAATTATATAGCCCTCAGAGGGCGAGAAGGCCCTCTGAGAGAGAGAAGCCTTCCCCGGTGTTCGAGTGTTCACAAGGTGTCCGAAGTGCGGGTGCGGCTGATGCAATTTCCCGGTGTTCTTTCAGCGAGGGGCAGATGATGTAATCCCTCGACGTTCTTGCCGCGCTGCAGTGGCTGATGTAAGGAGTCGACGTTCTTGCTGAAACCCAACACCGACAGACCCACACACGCACAGGCACGCACACGTATGCCGGTGTTTCTCCTTGCGAGGGCCCGCGATTCCAGATGGTCTTGTGGCTTCAGGAAGGCATTCTTTTAGATGCGGAGCATCTCTTGCTCGGGTCTATGTCCCGCGGCGTCGTTGTCCGCACTCACACTACGCATGCGCAACTCTCCTCCTTCCCTCTCTCCAACAGCTGTGCGTTACTCTCTCCGCTCTCTCTCTCTACCAGCTGTGTGCACTTCGCGTGCGTTCGCTTCTACTCACACCGCATGCGCATGCGCAACTCTCCTCCTCTAGTCTCCTCTCCTTCAAGTGTAAATATAAGCAGCGGTAGCGCGCTGCACGGATTCCTCCTTTGATTTCCTTGCTCTCAAGACTGACTGACTGACTGCGCGCGTTCAGTTCACCGCTGTTGACTCCACTTCACTCTGTTCTTCCGATGAAGTGTGATGGAAGCAACAGTCCCGTCAGTTAGTGGGTTGGCGCAAGCAAGCGTCAGCACCACCCCACAAACTAATTTAATAACATACAAGTTAACAACGTTATTAACACCGTTAATAACGATCCGCGATGCTCTGCATCACCCCATGGTTCCCCTCGGGAAGATGGTGTAATTTTTTTGAGTTTAAAGCCCCCAGCGAAGGCCGTCGCAACACACACACTTTCTCGTTGCGCCTCCGCGACTGAGCGCTCGTTCCAGCAGCTACCGCCACGCTTATTGATAGATTGTGTTCAACAAGATAACCCGTGAACAGGCATTTGATAGGCCTGCGCCATGTTTTCTTCAGAGGCGTTTGAAAAAGCTGCCGATGGTTCCTTGCCTTTCTGCAGCACGAAGGCATGTTTTTGAGAGTCAATATGAACTTTGATGTCCGTCGTGGCACCGTGCGATATCTTCACATCACAGACACTAATTGTACAGGATCCCAACTTGTCACCTTTTCGCGACATGATAAAGCTTGGAAACTGAGTAGTGTACAACTTCCGAAATTTCTGCAAACATTTGTCCGCCATAATTTTAAAAAAAAAGCTTTGAAGCGTTTCGGAAGTTCAACAATAGGAAACTTCGGCCGTGCTCCATAATTTAATCGATCTCGCTTGCATTCGAAAACCTCGATTCCGTTGTTGTTCTTCCTGTGTTGCGACGTGATAATGCCGCGCGCGCAACTTGCCAAGTAGACAGTGCGCCCGTGGCCAAACGGTTATCGTGCTTGGCTCCCACGCAAAGAGCTGAGGTTCAATGCCTGGCTGCGGATACACCTTTTTGTTGTTCCTGTAAATGTTGCGTTCTGGCTGGAAATTCGAGAACCCTGTCACTTATTCAAGGTTAGGATGTTCTACACTAACCTTCTCCGCCGATTGTTTCAGGAGCCCAGCACTTAATCCTGCTGTTCCGCCTACCTCGACGCCTGCGATGCTAAGCTGCTTCTATTTTGTTTTGGGCACAAGTTTGCCCCGCTAAGTGTTTAGTTTCTCCAGTTAATTCGCCACCTCATCAGTTGTCATTCGTGACATTTTGGTGGAGCATATGACCTGGAGGAGAAGCTGGGATTTCAAATATGCCCTTCGGTCGATCCTTGGCATTCGGAAATTTGCCCGAATCCTAAGCTGCTGCGCTACCTAAACTGTCACTCGATGATCTGCGAGTAACCTGCACCTACTTTCGAGTATTTTGGATTTACACGCCGATGATTGCTGTGTCAACAAAGTGGCTAGAAAAAAAGAAAGCTTTCATTGTGGCCATTGTACAGGAGACTTGAGGTTGCTTCTGTACAATTGGAAGATAGGACCGAAATTCGGAAGGGTCCCGGGCACTTTGAGAGAGTTGGCAGGCATGCAGATCACTTGAGCGACTTGATGACGGAAGATCCGTCTTGGAATCCCCAGTAAGGGTGGCCTAAAGGGCATTAGATACCATGTGGCTATATTGATGTATTCTTTTCAAGGCTTTGGTTTTGATCGACGCATCAACAAAGTCAATGGCCGCATTTACATGAATGCTATTTAGTCGCATCGAATCCAGTTGTCGCATTCAATGTGGTCATGTAAACAGCATAATGTGCAAAGAAAGCGCATAGCATTCAAGTCGCTAGACAGAGGTGGATTGAGATGGCGAGTGCGCGTTCATTCAGCCCATGTAAACAGAAGTCGCATCACACTTTGGAACGGGGAGGATTATGGGAAAGCGCTCGCTGCAGGACAGAGTGAGGTTGGCGGTGGCCAACCTCGTCGGCGACGTGGAGAGCGGTCCCATATGGTCGCCCACACTTTTTTTTCCCGAGAACAAACACAAGCTTTTATTGCCATCGTAAGTAAGCGGAATATAGCGGAGCTGCTCGGTGAGGGCGACCCCCGTTCAAGCCTTGCGAAGTGCGACTTGCGCGTCCTAAGGGGTCCCAAAAGCTTCGGCGCAAGCACGAAAGACACCGAGAGCTTCGAGCACTGTAGAGCACTGCATGGTAGCAGGGAACGAGCAGCTCCTACCTCGGTGGTGTTCCCTCCTGGCTGCGCAGAAGCCTTTCGGACTCGGGGTCCGGTTGGTCCGGTCGCGATCGGCGAGGTCTTCCTCAAAGCGTGTACACACACGTCGCCTCTGGTCCAGAGTGACCCGGCGTCCCAACCTGGAGCCCTAAACGCTTGGGTTTTGATGTTTCTTCTGTCTCGTAACTTCTTCCACAGCACCGAAGACAGCGGGCACTATCTTTACGTTCACTGGACGCGTCAAAAGGTCTCCACGTGCGATGCACCGGAAAACGTGGTGTGGCTGGTGCCAGAACTGCATAACTTCGAGCTTTGACATGGTGTGGTGCCACCTTCGTGTAGGACTTGGTGCGCATTCATGTAAACGTTGCCGCGTCGGTTTCGTTCGAAGAGCGAGTGAAGTCGATGCGCTGAAGTCGCTTTCATGTAAACGAGGCTTATGCGAGATAATGCGCAAAGTGTGGACGATAAGTTTATTGTCCTGTGCGCTTAACTTTTTGGCCTCTGAACTAGCATTAATGGGCAGATCTTGACGCTTCCGCGCAAGCCGTAACCTCGCGTAAAGTTTCTTCTGACGCATGCTTATTGGCCAAGCCGGTACTCAGCATTTCAACATGCAAACCTCGGGATTTTATTTGCAGACAAGTCAACATGGTGCTGTGACAACCAGCATGTACTAACGCCGAGCTTGCTCATTTACATTAGTATTGCTGGTCAGCAAGTTAAAATATGTGTTTTGTATGTCCATTGACAAAATTAACTTTTTTGCGATTTATGTTTTTTCGTTGTTGCTGATGCTTTAGTTCGTAATGTAAAACTCAAAGACGCCATTGAGAAGCTCAAAGCTAGCGCGCTTCTCATGTCTTCTGTACTGACCTGCGGTGCCTAAAATGAAGTCAGCGCTCGCTTGCATTCTTGTAATTCAACTTCACGTTTTGACACAAAGTTATTTTGTAATAATATGGGCACAACACCCCATACAATCTGGTTTCAAGAAAGCGACAGTCAAGCACAACTGCGAGAAATGTCACATTGTTCACTGGCCGCATATCTGGGCGTGAATGCCTATGGTGCGCACCAAAAAAAAAAAACGAAAATTACTCCAAGCCCATTTGCTCGGTGCTAATAACCATGTTATGTGTTTGCTTTTTCACTAACTGAGTTTGCTAATGTTTTCCATTTTTCTTGTATGCAGATTACCCAATGGATCATGAAGAGGACGAAGCCCTTGACCCTCCCGCAGCTGTGGTACCCCCCGCAGCTGTGGTGCGCCCCGCAGCTGCAGTGCGCCGCGAAGCCGTGCGTCCCGCAGCAGCGGCCTCCTCTGCATCGGCCAGGGACGACTGTGCCAGCTCCTCAGCTGTGCCCCAAGAGGTGCCTGCCCGTGGCGGAGGGCGCTTTGGTGTGCTGGAGCGCACAATGGGCGCCGAGCAAGATGTCCGTCTCGGATATTTAAGACGCGACCAGGAGAGGAAGGAGGAGGAGCACTCTTTCCGTCTCGCATATTTAAAAAAAGAATTGGAGATGAAAGTGCGGGAGCACAAGCTCCGAATGAGGAAACTGAGGAGCGAGAATCAGCTTTTGATGCTCGAGACTGCTGAGAAGAAAAAATAAATGGGAAGAGGCGCACTCTTTCTATACCTTTTATTTATTTTATACTTGCTTAAACTTCCAAATTCCACAAGGCATCTGTGAGAGCTACGTAATTAACGATATCTGCCGTGGAAGATATTGTTAATTGGTCGCTAAAAAAAATAGTGTATCTATGCTCAGTCTACCCGTTACTTCAACCAGAATGAAAACCTTGGTCATGAGATGACAGGTTTTGAAGGTGCCTTCTTTCCCTGATTGCTTACACTTCCTGATGGCAGCTATGAGGCACATGGCCACGAATACACCGGTCAAATTAACCCATTCGCTCCCGCTTGCGTCGCACGCTGCTGGGCCGTCTGTACCGCACATTTCCCCCCTAAAACGGCCACACTAGGCGCAACTGTTTTGATTGTATAATTTTACATTAAAACTCGGTGAAGTAAAGATTTTTATTTACATGCTTAAGTGGTTCGTTGAAGTCTTTAAATCAATAGGCCCTCACAGATTCTTCCTCGGATAAAAGATCTCTAAGCACTCCATCCTCGGTCGCTTAGGCGTCGCACACCCAGTGCATTCTTGTCGTGATTCGGACTCGCTGTCGGAATTGCGACAAGTGCTGTCGGAATCGCTCCCGCCGTCTACAGAAGGCTCCAAAAACTCACTATCCTGAACAGACATCCCGTTATCCTTACTGTCGGAAAGGATATCTATAATTTCATCGTCAGAAAGGCCGCACCACACACTGGACACTGCCATCTTCTCCAAGCAGGCAGCGATCGAACGGGAAAGACACACAAAAGAGCAAGCTCAAACAAACACAGCGCACGGAACGACCCTCGCCATCTGTTGGAAATGTATCTAACTGCACTACCCCCAAGTCTACATAGCCCGCCATCTATGAATAGCTCTTTAAAACAGAAATTCATGCAGACCGGCAAATCGCCGGCTGTGACAATATGGCCCCGACAGCACACCTGGCGATTCGCCGGCTTTGGTAGCGAATGGGTTAAGTGAAGTGGCTAGCAATTATTGTGTTTCTCTCACTGGTTCCTGTGTCGGCCGGGGCAACGGTGGCAAGGGCCCCTTGCGCCGGGGCCTTGGCAGGGGAGGCAGGGGCACAGCTGGCGGACAAGGGTCCGACATTTTCCGTCCCAGGTTGTGGAGTGCCGCACACGCCGTGATGATGGCGGCAGATCGTGTCGGCTTGTGTTGGAGCCTCATGTCAAGGCACGGAAAGCGGCGCTTCCAGACCCCAAAGGCCCTCTCTATGCTGTTGCGAGTCTTGATATGGGCCTTGTTGTACCTGAATAGCAAAATCCTTGTTAGACACAAGAAAGTTCTTCAACTTGAGGTCAAACTAATATTTATTCTGAGGTCCCATTTATGAAGTGCTCGAAGAAACATTTTTGCCAACTGAAGGAGTTTACTTGAAGGTGCGTGCACATGATGATGTTACTTCTATACATTTAAAACTCGTCAATGATATGTATCTGAGACGGGACAAAAGGAGGCAGATACCTTGGGCGTCATATGTCTATCTTCTTTTGTCCTTTGTCTCTTGTGCCAGTGTGTGTAGCACTCACTTGCCTTATTATTCTTGCTTGTCGATGTGTAGCCGCTGATTGTAATCTCTGTACTCCCACTCTTATTTCAACTCTATTTGGCTCGTACAAACCATAATTGTGACCGTCTTTTAAGGCATTGTATCAAGGTGAGATAAACCATTCTTCAATATTTACACTGTGTCCCACAGTACTTTGTATTGAACATTGTTTCCAGGGGTTCTAGCCTGCCTGTATGTGGTTGAGGGGGACATATAAGAATGACACTTGACCTGATCTGCACACTGAACAGTGCATCAAGTCAACGTCACCACCGGTTTGCTATGCAATGCATCAACATTTGACATGATTGGTTCATAACCACTGTATTTTCACAAATAGGCTGCTACAAGTCTTCCCCCCACTAGGGGGGGAAGACTTGTAGCAACTAGGTGTCCGCGATGGCGATGTGGCTCACAGAAAGCGAGCCACACGCAAAGACGCGCACCAGTGCGCGGGTGAAAGAAAAAGAATGAAAAAAGCCACGAGATATCACTCGGGCAGGTGGCTCGAGAAAGGTTTCGACGGCTACACCTTCAGCTGGCTGGTTCCCGGTCCGGACGGTATCTGTCAATATATACTGTAAATAAATGAAGGGCCACCTTGGCCCTTCATTATTCGATATTCGATAATTTAGATCACTCCGGTTTACAAAAGAGATTTATACAACATATTTACAGTCTAGACATATGGAGGGCTCTTGAAGGTTGATGTTGCATCGATCAACGGTTCCAACTAGCTCTGCTCGCGCCGGTGGCCTCACTTCATCTTCTTCTTAGCACATGCTCCTTGGTCTTCTTTTCCTGTGAGATGTGTAGTCGGGCGCGTATCCACATTTAGCGAGAAATGTCCTCAATATTTAATATCCTCCCCGCCGAATGAGCATTGCTCATTCGTTATGAGCTTCCAGTTGATGTAACAGTTGAATGGGACGTCTAATCGTTGTTCCTCCTGACAAACGGACCACGCAGGATCGGACGTGGCCGTCTCGTCCCGGGAACACTTGCACGACGCGGCCAGTTTTCCAGGTTTGTCGCGGATGGAAGTCGTCATGCAGTAGCACCAAGTCATTCACCCGTAAATTACTCGAGGCTGCCGGTGTGCTGTGATGAAATGACCTTAAGGTACAGAGATATTCCTGGCGCCAGCGCTTCCATAGGGTGGTCGATAGCATCTCACGGTACTTCCAACGGCGAGTTAGATCGTTGGCTGATGACAACATTGGCTCTCCTCCACGAGTTGGCAAAGAAGTCAGTCGTTTACCGACAAGGAAATGTGCGGGTGTCAATGGTTCTGGTTCGTTCGGGTCAGAGGAGATGGAGGTCAAAGGTCGAGAATTAATTACAGCCTCTATCTCCGTCAATATGGTGCTCAGCTCTTCATAAGTTACGTAACTGCACCCCAGAACCTTTTTCAGAGGGGTCTTAACTGATCGAACCATTCGCTCCCAAAACCCGCCCCACCAAGCCGCTCGTGGAGCGATGAATTTCCAGTTGATGCCTTGACTGGACAGGTAGTTGAGTGACTCCTGTTCTCTCATTGTTTTCCATATCTTTCTGAATTCAGCAGACGCTCGGTGGAAAGTCTGTGCATTATCAGAGTAGATCGTGTGGCATAGTCCGCGACGGGCCACAAAGCGACGAAATGCCAAAAGGAAACTAGCTGTAGACAAGTCGCTCACCACCTCCAGATGTATTGCTCTAGTGACTGCGCAGGTCAGTAGCAGAATGTATGATTTCTTTATCTTGCCTTCGTCCTTGGTGAGGACAGGTCCGGCGAAGTCGAGCCCCGTGACTGCAAAAGGGTCCGCCTCCAACACTCGGTCTCGTGGAAGCGGCGCGACTGGTTCAGTCGCACTCTTGCTGCTCATCCTTCTGCAGACAAGACAACGGCTCAAGGCCTTCTTAACTACTTGTCGAGCTCGTATAATCCAGAACGTCTCACGCAGCTGAGTTAGAGTGTCCATGCACCCTGCATGTAGCAGCCGTCGATGTGTGCTAAAAATCAGTAGTTCCACAAAGTGGTGAGTCGAAGGCAAAACGACAGGATGTGCCGTCTCATAACCGAGGTCTGAATGTTGTAGGCGTCCTCTCAGTCGTAGCAGCCCTCTGTCATCTATAAATACATTCAAAGTGCGCAGGTCTGACGAGCCACTGCACTGTTCGCCTCGTTCTAGTTGGTTTAGTTCATCCTCAAAGGCTTCCCTTTGAACTTGAAGGAGCAGCCTAAGACGTGCCTCCCTTATCTCTTCAGGTTTGAGTGGACCCTGGAAATTCTCTTTCGTGTGTCTACAATTATTGACAAAACGTAGCACCCAAGCAGTGACCCGTTGTAGGCGATTCAATTCTCCAAACTTTCCGATGTTTACCACAGGCGTACAGGAGCTCGTAGCAGTGTGGCTCACAGTTAGTTCTGAAGTTCTTCTTTCTTCATTGGCTGCGGTATCTTGGCTACCAATGGGCATAGTAGGCCAACATGTGGGTGACTCTGCCAGCCACTTTGGTCCTTTCCACCATAGGTCACACTTCTGTAGACAGTCCGGAGGGACGCCCCTGGTTAGTAAATCCGCCGGGTTCTCAGCTCCAGGGCAGTGTCTACAGTTACTGGGATCTGTCCTTTGTTGAATCTCCATAACTCGGTTTGCCACGAATGGTTTCCATTGAGCAGCCAGGCCCTTTACCCAGTGTAGAGCAATCATTGAGTCTGTCCACAGCGTCACTTCTGAGAGATCCGACTTAAAAACTCCCTTAAAGTAGGCACAAAGTCGAGCGCCCAGCAACGCTCCCATCAGTTCCAGTCTCGGTAGAGTCAAGGTCTTTACTGGCGCAACGCGCGTCTTGGCCATAACGAGGGTCACTGTCGTCTGGTTATCACAGTCACTACGCAAATACGCGACTGTCCCATATGCCTGGGGGCTAGCGTCCGTGAAGACATGCAGCTCAGTTCGACCGCCGTATGCAGCATAGCGACGAGGGATCGAAATGTCCTCGAGATGATGCAGAGCTTTTATCCAGTTGCTCCATCTCAGACTTACGCTTGCAGGTAGCGGAGTGTCCCAGTCCAGCCCAAGTGCCCAAAGTTCTTGAAATAACATCTTGGCTGTTATCGTCACTGGGCTGAGGAGGCCGAGGGGGTCGAAAATTCTCGCTGATGCTTGCAGTACAAAGCGTTTTGTGTCACGGTTGATTGTCAGAAGCTCCAACGTGCTTTCTAAAGAGTATTTAAGCTCGTCCCTCTCTCTATTCCACTTAAGTCCCAAAACACGCGTCACACCTGACCTCGGTGTGGGAGTATCACAGGAGAGGCTTCCAACCCCATCTTCGTCAAATCGTTGTTGCAATGTCTCGCTGTTGGAACTCCACTTCCTGAGCTTCATTCCTGCTGCGCTCAATATTTGCTGGGCTTCCTTGTAGAAGTTTGTAGCTTCTTCAAGCGTTTCAGTGCCAGCAAT